GAGTCGTGTTTGGAAAGTCTTGAAAATTGCCGCATATTTTTGAGCTCCTGAAATATGGCGAATGTTATTTCCAGTTTGCATATTTTTGAAGCGAATGAAGTTTTTAATCAAGTACCATCTTACCGCTTCTGTTTATTATTGGATTATTTATTCAATAAATGAGTGTTACCCGTCACATATTGTGTGCGTTTGACTAATCAACAACAAGTTATGAGAATAGATAACCATGGTTCAAGTGTATGGTATAGAAATGGCAACTAGTGCATCCCTGATTCACATTGTTAGTTTATTCGATTTATTTAGTTATACATTTTTGGACTTAATTTTCAACGAAATATGTTTACTATAAGCGGAAATATGATAGTTTTAAATGTTTGTTTTCAAATCAAAAAGAAAAGTGCTTTTTTTAGGCAATTCATTTTGACCCTGAAATTACGACATCTGATATTTTATCTGAAAATAATGAAGAATACATGACAGGATGGAAGTCAAGATGTAACTGCAATTCAAAAGGCAATTTTGTTATCATTTGTTTATTTTTTTTTTTTTTGTGTGTGAATTTTTCTTTTAAGTTTACCAGTTTCATCTGATCGCTGATATCACCTATTGCAGTAAAAATTATTTATCAGAGCTATTTTGTGTTTTTTTTTATCTCATTTTAAGGCGTAATACCGTCTAACTTCAGAAACAGTTCTATTGGACTTCTATTTCTAAACATTTTCACATTTCAGACATAATTCACTCTAGTCAAATTCATAAATGTAAGTACTCAATTTATATTCTCGTTAACTTTTTATTCATCTTTTAAAATCACGATTTGAATGATAAAGACTTTTGATTGTGTTTTGTCATTTTTAAGAGAGATTTCAACTAAAAGTAAAAACAATCTGCCAACAGACTAACTTGCTCAGACATGTCATGTACGAGTGTATAAACATATATTAATACCTTATATCATAGTATTTAAAAGTAAAAATTTTCTTTTTTCAACTAAAATCGAATATGATTCATCTAATTAGTTGCTTCATTTTGATACTAACCAATAGACAAGGAATTCTCGCCCCAATCGAATGCATAAATAGCCCGTCCAAAAAGTTTATTTGTCATCATTAACTGTATAAGCTTTAATTATACATCGAAAATTGTTGCCTTGTTATACTGAATAAGAGGCCGGGCAAGAAAGAAATGTTCCTTAAAAAGCTTATTTCCATCAATAATTGGAAAACACTGTGATTGTTCTGGAATTTTATTCTTATAACCATTTTAGAACCATTTAAACCATGACCATTAAACTATAACCATTTGAACCTTGAAACCATTTAATATTTTTTTTAAATAAATATTACGCAGGTAAATAATTATCTATTTTTTAAAAATGTATTATGTATTCGAATTCATGCGACTATGATTATAAAAAATTATTATAATTATGACTAAAAAAAATTTTTTTTTATTATAATAGAATTCTAGAAATGCTTATGAGCAATTTTGGGGAATATGTTTGTCAAAAATAAATTTTTCACGATGTCTTACTTAGTCAAATAATTTATAAGTAACTGAATCTGAAGTGTGAAAACTTCATATGCTTTAAAAAATTCGGAAAATGGTAATTAAAGTCGACATGATATATATATATATTGTCGTATTTTTAAGTAAATCATCTTGCTCTTAGAAAAATAATAAATGACCTAAAATCATTTATATCAGTGTAAAATATCTTATTTTCTTTCTTAGTTTAAAATACTTAAGGTGTCTGCTTAGATTTTAAGCAAAAAAACATTTCGTTAGAAAAAACCTAAAACTATTGCAAAACGAAAATAAAAACACTTTTGCATTATATTTTTAAAGATAGAAGTAAATGAAATCAATGAATGAAATATTGGTTAAAAAATTAAGAAATAAATTTAACAGAAAATACTTTCGCATATGGTATTATTTTATAATTATTATTTTCAATTTTTTCCTAACTACAAATGACGTGAAATTTCAGCTAAGTGTTTAATTTTAAATTTTCTTGGTTTTGGATTTTACTTTATTTTGTAATTTTTGATTAATTACTTAGATTTTATTTTGGTTTCTTTATTGTTTGGATATCATATTAGTCATATTACTAGGAGAAAAAAAAATAAATACAAGGGTGATTCCTCTTATATTGTTAAAATTTTCAGTCGAAAAATTATGGTAAAATAACAGGCAACAGCTTATTATATACTAAAAACTAAACTCAGCGGCGCGACCCAGTGTTTAGTTCCCAAGCCAGCTTGGAACTCATTTTTCGATGAAGGCTGAGATTTAATCGATGAAGGCGATTATGAAAGGCTGAGTCAATCTTGCCCGGTCCGAGGATCGAACCAGGGACCTGTGGCACAACAGCGCGAAGCGCTACCGTTCAGCCACCGGGCGTTGCTTATTATATACATTCAGAATATATATATAGAAATGTTTTTGAATATTAAAGAGTTTAAATTTAATCTACTATATATAAGTACAGAGTATATTTACATTTAATTTTAAGTACGCTTGGAAGAAAATACATATAAAATGTATGTAAAAAGTGTAAATGATCTTATAAGTGGCATGTAAGGGTACATAAAATTCTATTTGTGCATGCATGAATGGAAGTATGAATGAGAGAATGAATGAGTTAAAATAATAATCAAAATTACGAACCAAAATTGCAAAATCGCTAAATAATTTTTCAAAAAAGGCTCCAAAATTCCTTTTAGGATTGATGAAATTTTAACTTATTGCTAAAGCATTAACTTATTGCACTAATTTCAACATTTCTTTTTGAAATTTAAACCTCCCTAAAAAAATCTCATTGTCCTTATCAATGGAAAACAAAAGTTTTATGCAAATGTTTGGATCGATTTTCAGTCTAGCAACGTAAAATTTCCTAAAAGTTAGTTAACGTTAATTAGGGGTTAAAAAAGAATTTAGTTTCTTAGACGAAAATTAATAAACTTATCAAGAATGTGAAATTCCAAACATCAATGCTGAAAGCAGTGTTATTTTTCTTCTTTTAAACTATTTTCAATCAAGACTCGGAGGAAAAATATAATGCTTATACTCTAATTTCATTAGAATGAAACTTTTGTTCGGGAATACGATTTGGAATTCAAGAGAAAAGTGACGTTCTATAGTTTTCTCTCTATTGTAAATCTTTCTCTATTTCATGTGATAAGAATAATTGTCGAAAGTTTTTTTTTTATCATAACAACTAACAAAATAGATGCAACAGTTTTTGAAGCGGGAAAAGATTGAAATAGAAACTTAAAGCGAATTTCAATAATTTTCCACACTCTAAATTTTTTATAATTATAATAATATCTATTTCTTTTTTTTTAAAAATTTTTTTTGTCCATTTCGTCTAACTTTTGGTTAAATTTTGATTGTATAATTTTTTTTAACATTTCTTTATTTCATTAAAGTTTATTTAAAGAAAAAAATGAAACTGTAAAAAAAAGAAGCGCCAAATATGTTAAAAATAATGATAAACAAACATTTGTTTAATCAATGTTTCATTTGTTTTCTTTTTCTCACCATTACATTATGACCACCAGAGCCATTACATTATGACCACCCTGCTAATAACATGTAGGACCACCTTTAGCCCTCAAAACTGCTAGCACCCGCCGTGGCATTGATTCCACATGGTGCTGACAGGTAGTCTGAGGTATATGGTACCAAGCGCTCACCAACTGGTCCTCCAATTCCCTCATATTGCGAGGGGATAGCGTGGCAGTATGAATTTGGTTTTCCAAGTAGGACCACAAATGCTCTATTGGATTAAGGTCAGGTGAATTTGGGGGCCAAGACATGACTTGAAAGTCATTGGAATGTTCCTCGACAATTCGACCCTTATGATATGTTGCATTATCCTGTTGGTAAACACCATCCCCCTCAGGAAAAACTGTTGCCATGAATGGGTGAACCTGGTTTGCTATGTTCAAGTAGCTTACAGACGTCAGGGATTGTTCTATGAGGATTATGGCTCCTAATGTGCCCCATGAAATGCTCCTGGGCGAGAAAACACGAAAACCTGGGCGAGCCCATTGTTATACATGGAGGGTGGCCATAATGTAATGGCTCTTCGGTATACATATATATGTATATATTAATGTAATTTTAAATTTTATTCAAATTTACCCTTTTTGAAAAAAATTTTCGTTCTGTTTAAGTAAAAGGGGCAAGGAAATCAGCGCATGAATAGTTTCATGAAGAAAAAAAAATTATTGCTCATTCTTTCTTGCTATGCAACCCTAAATTTTTCATTATCACTGAAAGGAATGTTAGTTATCGTATTTTCACATTGTACGAGTCCGCTATATATTGTATTTTATTCTCTGTTTATTTCGAAAAAGAATTTTTACGCGAATTTGTATCACTCATCCTTAATTATTAGTTCTATAACTCTTTTACCACTTGTTACCTTAATTTTAAAAATATTTTGGCATATTACATAATAGCACTAAAATATATAATTAAGGAGAGACTGCATTGCTAAAAAGTAATTCACAAAACAAGATCGGCTACAGTAATAATGAATGCAGAAAACCTAAAATTATCCTTGAAAATCGGAATGAGTGTGAGTGTGCTGTGATTTAAAAAATGGATCCTTTTTTATTCCCAAACTCTATTTTGGTTAGGTTTCTTTTTAAAAAAAATATAGCATCCAATTTATTTTTGATACCCTAAATAATTGTATCAACACCCTTCGATTTTTTTAGAGCTAACTTTCAACACCATTTTTTTTTCATTTCGGATGCATATCATGAGTTAAAACAAAGCACTTCCTTTAAATTCTTTCACCGCTAATAGTTTTTTTAATGGTTTTCACTAGTTCTTTTGTTCACACATGAGTTCTTTTCATAATGAAAAAGAAATATCAATAGTTTACAGATATTATATTGATATTTATCTCTCTTAGAAACATAACTCACTTCTCTTTTTTATCTATTTAAAAAAAATACTTATCACACTTGTTCTTTTCCTTTAAGAATTCATAATGGCTGTCGAACCAACCGAGCAATCTTTTGAAAGAACAGACACTTTTATGGTCAGAGGCATTCCATTTGGCAGACATTTTAAAAAAGAGACCATAGAAGGTATTTTTGATTTCATGCCAGAGGATGACGACATCATCATAGCCACTTATCCCAAGACAGGCACGACTTGGATGCAGTACATCGTCCTGCAAATACTGACCCGATCAGAGAGCTTTCCGTCTTTCAGTGACATGCTGGAAAAAGTCATCCCCTTCCTCGAAATATCTGGAGTCGCTGCCGTTGAAGCAATGACTACAAAACCTCGCGTTTACAAGCACCACTTGCCATACAGCGCTGTCAAGAAAAATCCAAAGACTAAAATAATTTATGTTTATCGCAAACCCGATGATACGCTGGTATCTTTTTACCACATGTTAAAAAGTATGAACGATAAGCTTGATTTTGATGAAAATTTCAACAATTTCATGACTGGCACCATCTCGTACGGGCGATATTTCGAACACATTTTGTCCTACTTGGAACACAAGGAAGATGGGAACATTTTGCTTGTTTCGTACGAGGAGTTGCAAATTCACAGGAAAGAACAAATACTACGCATCGCTAAGTTTTTGGGTGAAGAACATCACGATGCGTTAATCAATGATGAGTCCATTTTGAATAAAATAATTGAAAAAACTAGTTTTGATTACATGAAGAAAAATTTGAAACTTTCTGTTCCCCAAGATCCGAAAGAAGATTTATTTTCCAAGAAAGACATTCCTAAAAAAGACGTGAATTTCTTCAGGAAAGGCATCGTTGGAGATGGGAAGAACACTTTGACAAAAGAACAGCTTGATCAACTCAAATCTGTTGCTGAGGAAGTAATGAAAGGAACTGCAATACTAGCAGAATGGTATAACCACTGAATTTAAAGTGAATTGTTTGTAAAAAATTATGTACTTTACATTTTCCCTCGATCTTTGTGTTATGATGTTGGATTTAATTTAATATTGATAAAACTAGAGGTATTATTTGTAAATTGGACGCACCATTTTGAAAATAAGCGACGGAATTTAAAACATTTTCGCATATTGTGACTACAAAGTGTGTCGAATAAATAGTTTGCAAAGAATGGAAAATTTCTTTAATTGGTAAATATTGTTGTCTAGTTTCTGAAAAGTTTTGTCGAATTTGAAAATTTAAGGATTCTTTTCCTTTTTTTCACATAATTCAACACAACAATGTGCTCAGTTATGACCATGGCCGTAAATATATATTATAAAATCCTTGAAGGAAAAAAAATAAGAAAGTCATAACACTCGCTCGATAGGGAGAACACAAATTGTTATTTAAGTGAGAATAAACAACACCATTTTTAAACTCTGGTGAATTTTTACAAAAGTCAATAAGGCAAATCAAAACTAAGGAAAGTTTAAAATTATCTAATAGCACTTAATTCCTAGCAAAAAGGAATGTACATTTCAATCTATCATTTAAATTACTGAAGTTTGTTTAGATAATTTTAATAATTACTTTTTAACACGAGCTTCATGTTTACTTTAAAGCCCTTTTTTTTCTCTTCTCATTCAAACAACACCTAAAATTAATATGGTGTATTTATCATAAAGGGTATTCATTAAGGCGTTCACATACATCAGAGAATTTCATTCAGTTTTCTTAAATTTTGTATCCTTTACCAATTATTAGCGTAAAATTATGTTACTCAAGAAAGCCCCTTCTTTATAGTATAAAGCGAATAATAACAATTTGAGAAACAATTCTGTGCATTTGAGTGCCGAAATGATTATGATAATCAGAGGCATTATATGTTTAAAACAATGCGCAACATATGTTAAAACAATGTGCCTTATATGTGCAAAAAATTTTATTTTGTGACAACTTTAATTGTTTTAGTTTACTTCTGACATCCTTGCACGTCCTGTCACCTTTAAACCTTACGTTCATAAAAACCGACTTTTTTTAACTCTCTCTGTTAGATGGATGGGCATTTTGAAACTGTTTGGTTGGAATTGAGGAAAAATATTAGCACTACTTTTTAGCTATTTTAAATATTTCTTTTTAAAAGGAGGGTTTAAAAGTGCTGAGAAAAATGGTTAAACTGTAAAATATTTACCTACAACAGTTTTTATTTGTAGAATATATATCAGTAAATCAAGAATATTCAACACAGGGAGGTTGTTATATATGTTCAATAGCAATATATAAACGATTCATTTTTGAAAACCATAATTCAGTTGATTTTATTTCAAACCCATGTGTACACTTAGAAAAAATTCATAATATAAAATATTTCATTCTACGATTTAAATTTTTTCAAGATAATTAGTATTTTGTTTTTTAAAGTAAGTTTTTTTTAATACTGCAGCCGTTCTGGAAAGAGAAGTGCGTTTATTCAGGTTTCCATAGCTAAAAAAAAGAAAAGTCGAGCTATTGATAGTGATTATGATTCGACGGTGGAAAACTAGAATAGACGAATCAGCGAATCAGGAAATTAGTGAATCAGCAAATCAGTTGAGTGGTATTACTATCAATAGCAACAATAACAAAAGTAAACATTATTTCGCAACATTTGTGCATTGAGGGAAAATATCACAAATTTAAATCAACAAAATTTGAAACGATGAATTATTTTTGAAAGTAAACTGGAACTCAAGCCATTTTTTCCTCATTAATTTTGATTAAATGGAAGCAATCGGAGAAAAAAACATTTATTCAGAAAATAAAAATGCTTCCCTAACATCACTGAATGAAGAAGCGAAGATCTTTCCTCTCTCTGTTGAAGCGGCGTAAAACTCATTCTGCATTTTTTCTTCCATGGATATTCTTACATATGCATCATAAAATATGGCTTAACTCTTGAGTGGTTAATCAAAAACTTTTTTTTTCTTCCTCAGAGACATCTGTTATTTTCACGATTGCGTCAACAACTTTTGGCGAAAATTCAGAATTTGCACAACTGTTGTGGTTGTTTGTAATAAAGCTGTTTTTATTTCCGTTTTTGAAAAAAAATTACTTTTCCTGAAAAAACATAGTCCTTAAAGCATGATATCCACACAAAAAATTATTCTCTAATCAACCCTTTTATTAGTATATTTCATATTAAATTATGTGTCTTGATTAATTATAATCTTATTAATACATTTTATGCTTATTATATATTTTGGAATTCTGATAATTAGGAATAAGAATCTATACATAGTAGTAATTAGAATCGTATTTAAATGAGAAAACTATCTTTTGGAGAAATCTGATAAATAATTATTGATCTCAATCGGGACGAATACAGAAATAATAGTTGAAATGATTTTGATTCCTAAAATGTATGAAATCCATTGAACTATATTAATACCATTACATTAACATTTAAAAATATGACATATTATTGTCGTATAAAATTACGAGAATAATTCTTTAAGATGAAAATAAATTTCACTAAACACAACATTTAGAAACACAAATGGTAAAAGTTTGTTAAGAATCTGTAATAAGTTTTTACCATTTGTGGTTTTAAACGTTGTTTCTATTGAACACAACAGCGTTTTAAAAATATTTGAGGTCCCGTGTGAACTCCCATTTTGAATTTTGTCATAAAGAAGACATTTTATATGATATAAGAGTTTTTACAATTAATTTATGTTGTTCTTGGGAAATCAAATAACAAAAAAATAAATAAACATAATTGCTGCAGTTTATTCTTTGAATGAACAAATTTTATAATTGTGTTTGAAAATTTGCGAATAAAAGATTTTTGTATCACGCTGTTGTAGTAATAAAGTTAAAAGTACGTTAAAGTTAAAAAACAAATTTTTCTTATATCTCAAAAACAGAAACCCAAATTAAATGAAATTTTGTATAAAAGTGCATTAAGTTAGACAAAAACGATAACAAGGTAATGTCACTCAGGCAAAAGATAATAAATAAAAAAATCGCCAGTCAGATCGTCAGAAAATAGTGGAAAAAATGGCATTTCAAGAGGATTTAATATGGGTTATGAACTCAGTGATGACAATGCAGACCTCACAGAAAATTGTCATGTTATTTATGATGTTACAAATGATTTAAATAATAATTCTTTTAATGTCTTATTAGGACAATAAAACCCACTGCTACATTAAGGTAGTTCTTCAGCTTCCTAAGTTTTCTGAGAGGGAGTGGCTAACTGCAAGAATTTGAATCAGTCCTTGAGAAAAAGTTATATTCCCGCAGAAAAAGTTTGTTTTAGTGCTTTATTTGCTAGCTATATTAACTAAATAGCTTACCTTATAAGGATTCCACAAACAATAACAACTGTTGCCTAATAAGTGAAAATCTTATCATTAGGCCAAGAGTTATTTTAAATATCTCTCTATTTGCTTGTGTTAACGATCTTACTGACTTTGGTAAATTTATTTTCAGTGCAAGCACATTATAAAAAAATCCAGATCAAATTACAGTACCGGAATTCAAGATGGACTATTCTGGATGGCGATACTTTTTACCATAAGATCTATTCCTACCGTAACATATCACGGAACAAGAAATATGATATAACGTAATTTTTTCAGTAATAATTACCGTAAAATCACTGAATCACTCAAATTAAATATATATTACTGTAGAAATTACGGCATAATATTTTACGGTAAAAATGAATTTGACTGTTAAATAGATTTTACTGATGATGCACTCAAAGTGAACGTATTTTATACCGTAATTTGATTTGAAATTTCTAACAGTGCATAGCTAGTTTATCACCGAGTTCGTTTACACATAGAGGCAATTGATCCACATAAATATCAAATAGGTTTGCAAAGACGCACCCGTATTGACATAATGAAGTAAAATTGAAGGCAACTAAAATTAAAAATACTCACCTTTACATAACCATCTCATCAAGTTTTTGAAAATTTAACTTATTTATCCATCGCTCTGGACAGGTAAAAATGTAAAATGAACGGGGCAGCAAACAGCATCAAATTCAATCCATTTATGTCATTTGATTCGCCATTATTAAGCTTGAAGTAAAGGATCAATATACCTAACTGCTTCTTCTTATTAATGATGCTAACATCTGAAATCTGTTTATGCCATCATTTATATTCCATCTTGTGGATTCTGCTATATGATGTATTTCACGTTGTCTAAAAATTGAAGTTCCATGTCTTCCAAGCTTTCATGAAGAAAGTAGGTATCATTATTTAGTTTCACCTGAAATGTTGATGCCGGAGATGATGTTTTTGCCCGAAATTAGTCCACAGCTTTTCAACTAAGAAAGAGAAAAAAATTAAATGAATTATATTAATAACACTAAAGAGTTAAAAAGTGCCAAATAACAGAAAATAATTCCTTCAGAACAATATTTGTCACAAAACAGTAAATGCTGAAAAGTAGCTACAATATTTATTTGAAGTATTTCACAATCATTTTGTTCTTTTACTAGGTGTTCTGTAATGACCGCTCTTTACATACATTTTAGAATCTTTCTCAAAAATGAGTTCAAAAATGTATAGACGTTAAGGTTCAGAATTCATTATTTGAGCGTGGAACAAACAAATATTTAATCAAAATCTGTTGATAAAATAAGGAGATATGCGAGTTGAACATTTTCAAAACCAGTCTAACTGCTTGATGAAACTTGAAAATGTTTCTATTACTTAACTTTATATTTGTTTCCTTTATATCTGCTTTATTTCTGCTTCATCCGGGAATGAAACAGGTTTTGAGTTTTTAGTCCCATTTTCTTTAGAAATATTTTACTTGTCCTAAAACAAGGGTTCGTCGTATTTGCATTAAGCCTTTGGGGCAGATGGGGCCCTGTTGTCCTATTTATATATTTTTTCAGGCGCTTCAATTACAAAGAAGAATATATTTTGGTATTTTTTAATTACAAAAAACAGTACCATAAAAACTAAGAAAAAATTATTAGACTCTCGGAATTACGTTTGTTCTAAAATATTCAATCTAAAAAAATGTAGGTTGAAAAAAATGTTCATTTACATTAAAAAATTTATCAATAACTAATTTTTTAAATTAGAAATTTCAATGATGAACAACTGTTTCTCTTTTATCTAAATAACTGCAAATTCGAGTGAGCCATGAAAATTTTACCTTTAACGCAAAAAAAAGGACACC